AAGGGAATGAAGAAAACAGTGAGAGCTAGTAACTAATTACCATCTCAAGGAGAGCTCTATCTGTTCAGAGACCCTCTGGGAATGGGCTGGACCAGTCAGACAACTTTTGGGCTGGGCCTGAGTCAGTTAAAATACCTTCAGATAAGTCATTTCTGAAAATGAATCACTTAGATTATTTTCTTACAATGATCTTTGACTCAGTTGATGGAGCCTATGAGGGCCAGAGTGTTGTTTAGACCATAGTGTTGTGACCCAGGCAGTTGTCTTAAATTGTAAGCAGTTCCTGGGAAGAAATACATGGCCATGTCATTCATTCATTTATTTATTCATTCAACAAATAATTATTAAATCCCTACTATGTGTCAAACTGTAAAACTAAGCCCACAAAATTAGGCCAAATGTTCTGCGATTTGAATGGAAGATTCATTTGACAGCAACAAGTGGGTGGGGTTGGCGATGAGGGGAGCCTGGTGAGGACTGTCATTCCCAAACTGGTGGACAGATTAAAAATAAAGCCCTCCTAATACAGACTTCCAGTGGGAAGAAGATGGAAACTTTATTTATTTATTTATTTATTTAAATTTTTATTCTTAGTGGGTGGCTGGTGTGGGACTCCAAACCCTTTACCCTGGTGTTACCAGCACCACCCACTAACCAAGCAAGCTAACTGGCCAGCCCCCAGAAACTTTATTTTTTACAAAGCTCGTTGCGAGGTGTTCTTGCAGCCAGAATTGTGACCCAAGAATGAACCAGCAAGAATGAATGATGGACTTTTCTCAGAGGTAAAGAGGGTAAAAATATGTGTTGGTAAGGGCCAAGAACTAATGCATAAACTGTGTCTTTGGATGGCTAGAATTCCAAATGGAGATGATTTGGCATAACACGGATGTTAATTTGAGCAGTAGGTCTTGAGTTTCACACCAGGAGACAGAAACAAAGCTCTCAATTCTGCTCAGCATGGAAGACAATTTAAATGTATCAGCCCTTCAGAAATAGTGGAAAGGAAAGCAGAAAGGTCATATGCATAAGAATAAAAACACTTGTTTCTGAGTTTGGGAAATCAAAGGATTCCAGTAGATGAGATATTTCTAAGCTTATAAAACGGGAATAAAGCCAAGTGACTTAGGTAATGTCCTTCTAACCAAAGCACTGAATGTTTTACCACTGGCTAAAACATTATGACCATTTCCAAATTGCCTGGCTGGCACCCTGGGACAGTCTCGTTTTGACGAATTTCATTGATTATAATCTGCTTTTCCAAACTTTTTTTTCTTTTCAGTTCGAAACCCAGAAGGACAGATAAAGCTTTATTCCAAAGGAGCAGATACTGTTCTGTTTGAAAAACTTCATTCTTCCAACGAAGAAGACCTTCTGTCTTTGACGTCAGACCATCTCAGTGTAAGTGCCTCCGTCTTAAGGTTAGCACAATGGCCCTTTTACCATCTCCTATGGTTAGGCCTTATTTAGAAAATACCAGCTAAATGATCTTACTTCTGAAATAGAAAGCATCTGGATAGCAGTTCCATAGAAAATTGTGCCAATGAGTGTCTGAAAACTGGTACATGGGCCCACTCATCCCCACCCCCCTGCCCTGCTGGGAGCCCAGCCGGTTTTACCACAGGTGGATTAACACACAGCAGCTGAGAAGCAGCCACAGAGTGTGGGCTTCTGAACTCCAGCCAGAGCAGGGCTCCAGGGTGCCTCAGGACCGCCTGGGGACATCTGCTCTCACTCCCCTACAGTTCTACACTGCTCCCCTTGCTAGACTGGACTAGTTCTGGGGCAAGGAGCCAGAGGGTTGATTTTCCTTAGGCTCTGATGTGTCTGGTGCCAATGGACTCTCTTATGATCACCCCCAGGGAATAGTTTAGGGTTGTGTATAGATAGTGAGGGGAAAATAGTCTCTGGAGCTACTTTTTCCTCTAAGGGTCCTTTTACACAGGTTATAAATCGTGATGAGTCCCTTGGGTACCCTAGGATACCAAACTCGTACATTCTGAGACCAACATAATTTCTTTCCAAAAGCTTTCTGAAGGGAGCAGCAGTGATCTTTGGCATACTTTTTTTTTTTTTCTTTTTTTTGCAAAAGAGTAACAGCCTATGAATTAATATGAACATTACTTGATTTAAATCTGAGTTTCAAGTGTCTCTAATATTTATTTGAGGTTCCACTTAACACCATGTGAACTTTAAGGGCAACTGGTCAAAACTCTTATTTTCTCATTGGTTTCTTTACTTTAAAAAATTATTAAGGATTCATGTTCTTTGTCAGGCCCCATATTTAATACAAAACATTCCCTGAATCTTTAAAAAAACAAATAAACAAATAAAATAAAAGAATTCTGCCTGACTTTAAGTTAAAAAAATTATGGCTTAGTAATACTGGTTACAAACACAGCTATTGTTTTTGTCTTTCCAATAGAGCATTCTTCATTTTCTTTTAATCTCTTCCAGAAGGCCAGCATGGTCTTTTTAATATTTTTTTTTTTTTTATGAAAACAACATTGGAATTATAAGTATCTGATTTTTGCCATTACTCAAACACCAAGGCCCTGGATTTTTATATTTTGTTTTCCTTTCATACTAAAGTATAGGAAGCCTACTTTGGTCTTTTTTTACATTTCTATGCAAAAGAGAAAACAATTTTGGTACTATCAATTTGACTTGCTGTTTGCTTCATTCACTTTATTCATTTTGGCTTCTAGATTCTGAGGTTTTAAATTTTATTTAATTATTGATTTTGAATGGTTTAATGATAGAAGATCTTGCTTAAATGCTCATGTAGTATTAAATTTGCGTTTCATGACCTAATTAAATAACTTAAATCATCTGTCCTCTTTTGTAATGTTGCCTTAGAGTTGATTCACTGTTGTGCAGAACAGAGAGGAAGGCACTGG